AGAAGCAAGCGTGTTCTTGACACATTGGCTCACACTGCCAGGGAGGTGCATGTGCTGAATCAGAGCATCTCCCAGGTGTCCTGGCTTATGACTCTGCCCCTCCTTCTCCAAACATTGCCCTTCATTTTCTGCGCTACTCATACCAACACCTCACCTCTAGCAAAGGGCAAGGGGGACGCAAACAAGGTGTAGGAGGATTTTCTCCCACCCAACTTCTGCCTTAGGAATAGTTTGAATCAAGATTTAGGTAACCAAAAAGTCTTCAGAACGTTTATCCAAATGCAAATCTTTTCTGTTTCATAGCCCCACTAGGAATTACCAAGTCACTTTCAAAAAATGCAACTTTCAGGCTTTCTCACTGTTTCATAAATAGCCATAGGATTAACAGCACCTTATTAGCTTCCCTTCGAGTCTCACTGTGTGAAGAAACTCAACTGAAAAGAAGCTGATCACTAATATATTCTTAATCCTCCACTCTCCTTTCAGATCCTGTCAGGACTCAATCATAAGATGCATAACTGAGTGAGGCTGTTCACATTAATGTGCCACTATTCCAGGTCACCACTCCCAAAGCTTTCATCATGGGATGTCACTGAAAGATGCCACCTTCACAGACAAGAAATGCCTAATTTATCCATTAGGTATTTCCTTCTGTAGCTGCTTAAAGCGAGTATGATTTTTCTTTTTATTTTGTCTTTAACTTTCTGTGTTTTGCCAGGAAGGCAGCTGTAGTATGGCTCAGAAAATAAGCAGTCATGTTACTCTTAACGGCCTGGGCAGAAGAATGTGTTTAATTTGCATGCACACCATGGTAGAAGAAACTGACTCAAAGTGAGCTGTTAGTAAGAGGTGCTTCTGGATAGTCAGATTCAGTGGACTCTGCAGGACCACTGAGGAGTCCCCAGCCTGGACCAGAACACTGCCTGTCTAGGTGCTGCTCTAGGTGTGGTATAAACCCTTTATAAAAAGATGGGGAGTTATGTATTCATCCTTGAAAATGAAAAAAAAAAGAAGTTAGCGAGGGAGAAGGAGGGGAACAGGCATGCATAGGAAACAGAAATATACAGCTCAAGGCATAAGGAGACAAGGACAGCACACAGCTGATTAACCATTGTTAAGGTTGTTGCACACTCAGACCTGGTTTTAACCTACCAAATTTTGCGTGCCTACTTGAGATGTCTCCCTGAGATATGCCTTAGGTATCCCATAGAGTCATGGAGGGAGACATTGGAAAAAAGCAGTTTTATAAGACGGTTAATAAACCTCAGAGAAGAATGTCCTTCTGGAGCTATCTATCACTTTCTGGAGACTATCACAGGAGTCTAGCGTTACCAGTCTTGAAATGTGGGGTCCTACACTATCAGGATGGCATAGATATGGAGCAGGTGGCCAATTTCCCTGGCTTGTGAAGCTTCCTTTCAAAATCTTTGTGAGGCTGAGAGTCACAAGACACAGAGCAGAAAGCTGAGGGAAGCAGGAGATCTCGGGGCAGCTCACAGACAGGTGGTGACAGTGGCTCTGCAGGAAGGCACGCAACCTTTGAGACGCCCCCATACAGTGTGTATGCTGGGCCTAGAGCTCGTGACAGACAGCAGCTCCTCTTGTGGCAGAAGAGCTTCTGTGTAATCCAGATCTCTGCTTGTCAAGGTAAGTGAGCCAGAAAGACCTGCTGACGCCAACACTGCCAAGCTGTATGCGCCAGCCACATGCCCAACCCAATCCCATCTCACTGCGGAGCCAAAGGGCCCCTGGAGAGCAGATGTCATCCCCTGTCTGAGCAGCTCCTCTGCACCTCAGCTTTCCAAGGTACGGGTTGTGCGTCCAGTGACCCTCTGCCATAAATGAGATTCTGGTTTGTAGATTCTGGGCAGCAAACGCAGCCTTTCTCTGCAATATGACTTTCCATCTATAAAGTATTTACAAGGGCTGTAGAAGTGATTGACAATGGCATGGGAAACTGGAATTTTCCCTCAGTCTTGGTCCTTGACCTCACTGCTCCTTTTACCAGTCTACGTATCCCATGACTTCTCTGAGATTTTAATCCATGGATTCTTCTGGTTGCAGTAGAAATATGGTGCAGGTATATGTCAGTGGTCTTTCATACCTAATGAGATATTTGATGTTGTACAGAAACAAGAAGAGTCACTTCATGGAAAGATCAGCAGAATATGCTTAGCACTAATATTGACATCCTTCATCAGGCAGGAATCCTCAAATTGATGTCTCCAGATCTCAGAGCCTCAGCTTCCTTTTCTGCCTGCCTAGTTATAAGCTTCTCTATGGTGCTTGCCAGGGTGGGATCTGTGAAACTCCCAAACATGCACCAAGGAAGCCCAGCAAGGCCACATGGTGTGGAGTGTCCAGTGTTCCCATTTCATAGATTTCACAATTGAGGCACAGGTTGGTGAAGTGGCATGCAGAACATTTTTGTCACCCTCACTAGCATGCCCGAAGGTATTCATGAAACTTTCCGATAGAACGAGGAAATGAACTCAATGACTTTGACTCAGTTCTCTGCCTTACCTTTCATCCCTGAGTCATCTTTACTTCCCCTTCACCTTTCCTTTTCCTGTAAACGCTGTTCTTCTTGACGCCTCAATGTACAGATTCAATAAGCCTTATCATGAAAAGGTGGACACTTGTGGCTGGAGAACACTGTATGTTTAAATTCAGCAGAGCTGTGAGAAGAGGCAACAAGAAACAGGATTACAAACAGTCAAGCAAGTTCACTCGTTTGTTATGTCCAAAGAGAGTTGCTTTCCTTTGTTGTAGTGTGCTCCACTCATCTGTGCAGCTGTGCATCTGGCCTTTTGTTTCCCTACCTATTCTCATAGGTGACTGCTGTAATGAGGAGTGACAGAGCTGAGGAACAGAAGATCAGAATTCTTCCGGATGGGGCGAAGCGTGGAGCTTGCATGAATAAGGCACGTGAAGCAAGGGAATCTGGAAATACATTCAAATATATATGAATATATATAATGAGCAACACTTGCATACGTCAGCTCACTTTTTAGCAGACCTCTGTATGCAGTCAGCCTTGCATTGCACACCTCCAGCAAATCTCACCTGTTTATTCTACGTATGTCCAGATACAGTATTGGACTGCACAGCAGCTCTGGAGGAGTACCTGATCACCAGTCAGTGTATAGCTGGTCCCCTCTCTGGGTTGTGCCGAGCTTCTTCATGCTTGGTACAGCTTGTTCCTGGTGCCAAGCACTGATCAACTGCCTTGGTACAGTATTTTTCAAACTCTGAGGCTGATCTCTAAATGGTAGGTTTGATACTTTGTACAGGAGACTGAAGTCTGGGTGCCAAGGCATGTTTATTTTTGTATTCTTGCCTAATCGTTGTCACAGATGATTCAGCAAGAGCAGAACCACCACTCTGCCTGAAAAATCCTGCGAGGGCTTGCTCTGGTTCAATTTGAAGTGGAAATGAACATAAATATATGAAAGGCTGTCCTTGTGCTCCCAGAGGGATAGCCACATAGTTTTTGCATTTTGAGGGAGGAATATTGAGCTAAAATTGGAGAAACTTTGCATAGGTAGAAGCATTATTAACACAATTAATGGCTTCTGTAAACCAGGAATAATATTGTCTAGAGGATGTTCTGCTGTCTGCAAAAAAACCCAGAGTCCTAGCAGGTACCTGCAATTCCACTTCTTGACGTTATTTAGCCAATTTTCTCATGCCACAAAGAGGTCAACAGTCATGCACCTCCTGTGTTGGACACTGTCAAGCCTTGTTTACTGTCATTACGAGATCCCAGGAGAAAGCTGGTGAGTTTTTGGCAGTTTGTCGCAGATGAGAGAGCTACAGCTGCAGAGCAGTTGTTGTCATAACACCTATTCATCATTATCCCTCACATCATGAATCACCTCCTGATCACCAACCCCTCTTTGTTTACAGCCATCACATCTAGAAAACCAGTGTTTACTTCCTGGAATCACACCCCTACCTGGGAAAAGTCAGGCTGATTTTGTACCAGTATTCCTCCCCCAAACCCAGAATTTTCACGAAGTCTCCCTGCTGAGAGAACAGGGACAGCTTTTCAAATGTTTTGTTCACTTCCACTTAAAATTCAACTAGAGTATCTAAATTAGGAATGCTGCTACATTCCAGCTCAAAAAGCTGCAGTGCTCTATTATAAAGAGGGGCTCCGTCTACTTCTGGTAATCCAGACTTGCTTCCTTCTGGATTGTGCGGTCCATTCGCTTAGGAAGAAAACTCAATAGGGGACCAATGTTACATCCTTACTTCGGTGTTTGGTATGGTGTGGAGGAGCACCATGTCAGCGATGCGCTAATACACCAGAATAATCAGCTCATCAAATCAGCTTCATTAGTTGGAGCTAGAGAGCACAGCTCTGCTGCCGAGCCCTGCAGAAACACAGCCTGCCTCACGGCTCCATCTGCTGCATCCGAGCAGGAGGGGTCTGGGCACTCGGCTGTTCATGCAAACCTGGAAAAGCCCGGGACACTGGGTGTGCTCCTAGCACAGGCCATGTTCGTGCCTGACATGCGTTGCCAGGACACCGCTGCCCTCCTCCAGTTAGTGTCTCTCATGCATGAAGCCAAATGCAACTCTGGAGCGGCTATGGTGAAGATGACAGAGTGGAGTTTGAGGCGTCTGTTTTCAAAAATCAGTGCGGGCCCTCCTTTTTGCAGGGGGGGTCTAGTCCAAAAAGTTGGCTCTGCCTCACTATCCCAAAGTGGCCAGGAATGGTGAGGGGCAGCTCTCCCACTGTGCTCAGGGAGGCTGGCCGGGTGGCCTGCGGTGGGACCTCACTGCCAGGGGACAGAGGTTGGCAGGATGGGGGCTGCTCACGGGCAGCTCATCCACTGAGGATGCTCGGGGCTGTCTCGGTCCCTGCATCACAGCAGCAGGGGAGCGGGACACGAGCAGGTCACGAGTTACATGGATTTGTTCATCACCTGGAATTTTTCATCCTGAGTATTTAGGGATAATTCTGGAGGCATTTTTATGGGAATGGCTCTGTAACTAAGCACTTTAGAAAAAAATCGGGCCGCCGTGTAGGTGAGAAGGCCAGTGGAGACGGCCTAGCCTTAGTGCAGCCAGCTTGGAAATGGATGGATGCAAGCTAATGGGTGCTTGCTATGAAAGCCCCTAGGGCCAATTATCTTCACAAATGCTGTTCTTCGAACAGTGACGAATAATAAACATATCTATAAATCTCTCAATCTGTGGTATTGCCAAGGGTCTGTGCAGAAGTATCTGTTGCTTACACTCAAGTTCTCTCTCTTTCTCTCTGTGTATTTTTAGCATGGATGGATATATAGTTTCAGAAAATGTAATGACATGTGACATGCAGGATTCATATGTATCTAGGCAGTACGGGAATGTACCATGTAGGAGGAGATGTAACATACTGCTTGGCTCCTAATACCCATTACTTAAGCACAATAAGGCGCATTATGGAAGCAGATAAGGGGGCTCCCTATTGTGCCTAAGCATTAGAAGACATATGTTTATCCTTTACCTGTATTTTTTCCTTTGCTTTATGTCATTACATTAAAGTTGATGCATGCAATATTGGCTGAAGATTTACACTGGCTTGTCAAAAATGCTCTCAGGGGTTGTCTTTAGAAGATGACCAGTTTTGCCGGTGATAAACCTGATTCCACTTCTCTCACGCCTTAGCAAATACCTCCTAATCAGTCCAAGCAGATACCAATGCAATGCTACGAAAAGCTGATGTTCAGGACAATTTCTCTGCTGATTTTAAGAGAGTCAAAAGGCAATGTTCTGTCCTGGAGTTACCTTTGTGACCCTAACAAGATGAGACAGTGAAGTTTTTGCCTTCAAAACGGTTCTAACAAAATATTATTCAAAAATAGCATGTTTTTAAAAAAGAAAAGGGCTAGCATAGGATCTTAATGGCATAGTTTAAGAAAAAAATGCCTATTTTTCTAACCAAGGCTTACATTGCATTGTAAAGATAGACACCGGAACGGTTGACAGCTTTAACAAGAAAACTGTGACTGCAATACTAGTAGAAACCATACATCTTGTGTGATCAAGTAGAATGCTCTGTACAGATGCCAAGAAGAGCTGAATTTTTAAAGTCTAGTTTTTTATTAGTAGTTAATGGTATATATTTAGCACTGAAAAGATCATTTGACAGCACATCAGTATTGCCAGATATATGTGTAAAAGGAAACTCAAAAAAAAACATTTGTGTGGGGTCTTTTTCCTCTGAAATTTTAGAAGGCACCAACCTACCGGATGCAAACTCAGATGAAGTAGATAGAAAGACTGCCACTGATTTCCATGGACTTTAGATCAGCCATAAGGAGAGGAAGCAAAATGCATGCTAGGATGTTTCCTTGGTTATTTGCCTGTCCTTTTAAATGCTATATGTGACATTTTAAAGTTCAGGTGTTAAAAAAGGAATGATAGCTTCATGAAGGGTTTGTCAGTGAACCGCAGAGTTTAGAAGGCTGTTAAAAATATGAATATAAATGTCTCTGTGCATACACACTACAGGGACAGAATTTAATTTAGCTGGAGCTGGTGGTACCTGACACTTTCTGCTATAAGAGCCTGTTTTCGGTTTTCTATAACTTTGCCAAGTTTTAACCATTCGGTGTCTACCTCACACTGAATATTTTGCATCTCTTGATTCCACCAGCAAGGTGATGAAAAACTACCCAGTATCACAGAATGTATAAGGCAATCATGAGATCTGGCCACAAGGGAAACAGAGAAAGTGACAGAAAGGGAGGCATTTGGATGGACAAAGGAGGGAATAGGCAAATGGAAGGTAAATCAGACGGGGGCAGCCAGACAGGAGTGAGACTGATGGTGTGGGGTGAAGGGCTAGGCCAGCAGGATAGGCAGTCTGGGAGAGAAACAAAGAAAAGGGCAAGGAATAAAAGACCTCCAATGCAATCTGAGCAGTAAATCCTTGAATCATGTATTCATCTTCCATAAGGGTTTTTTTTTTCCCATGCTGGCGAAAATGATTTATGCAGCACCAAGCATAAGGGGGCCCCATTCTCCGTTAGCTGGTAAGCGTTGCTGTAATGAACACAACTACCAGCAACGGCAAAGAGAGAAGATGCCTGTTGTTGTTTCAAGAGCCCTGGGAATGAGTCATTGGTCTGACTGCTCCCAAGAAGAAGAGTTGCTTATTGGAACTGTTTGCTTTCTTTTCCCATTGAGATCCCACTTTTTATATTCATTTTCCAAGCAACGGAAGAGCACTCTGGGAAGAGCTGTGGTATCTCAGAAGAAGACAGAAGAACAAAGAGGGGATGTGGAGAACAACGGAGGGGGGCAAGCAAAGGCATGGGGTAAGGAGGAAGGCAAAGCACAAACAAGGAAAGAGAGTAAGTCAGGAGATGCAGAGGGCGGAGGAACCACCTGACAGGGACCAAAATGTCAGATGACAAATCTTTATATATTTGGAATTCCATTACACAATGTACCCCTGCGTTTATGTTCATTATGCAAACACTTCTTCCTTGAGGGACTTCATCTCCTGGATATAGGGATGAGTGTGGTGGCAGTAGGAAGGAGAACTGGAGAGGTAGAGGCAAAGGCTGTCCTCCCCTGTATGTGCTGCCACTGGAACCCTTGTGTGAAGCCCTGCTTCCTGAGTGCCCTCACTCTCTAGCTGCTGTGAACCAGGTTTAAAGCCTAATTTCCGGGAAGG